TCAAACGCCTTCGTATTCTAAATATGACAGGTAACAGCTTAAAAATGTGGGCCATTTTGATGATTCCAGAACCTTGCAGTTCACACCGATACTTATACGCTACAATGATCAACTTTTTCTGATCCATTCCACACCGTTTCCTTCATAATGCAATTGCATGACCAGAACTCAACTTTATCTTTAAGTGTTTGGATACGCTCAGGAGGGCGAGGCATAATACCTAGGATTTTATTCAGGAATGCCTCTCGATCGCTTCACAAATTCATTTAGGATTCATCCATCTCCATCGAATATCTAAAAACAGGTAGCACTTCTATTTTCTTGAAGGAGGATAATTTGAAGACTGTGCTATAAATTTGGACTCCATACCCACTAAATTAGGTTAAGAAATAGCATGCATTTAAAATGTACTTTGTAAAACCATTGAGAAAAACAATTGTTTTTTTTATTGATATATACATGAAGATCTTCAAAAGCTAAATCAATTTTTTTTCTTCAGTAATGGAATTTTTAAATCATAAGACATAGTTAAATGAGGCATAGATTATATTAGACTAAAGGATGTTAATATCACATGAAAGAATTTTTTTTATTTTTCCCCTACAAATTGTAATTAAATAAAATCACTATTCAAGTTTGAGAGGAGGTAGTATGAAAGTTCAAGTATGAGTGATTTACTTGACTTCTCCTAAAGTGCTGCTATAAATACCCCTCCTTATCCCTCCAGGCACTTTCCTTCATTAACAGACTATTCTGGGCTAATCGACTCATTTCGTATGCAGCACAGCCTTTCTTGAGTGCCACAAAGGCATAGTTTGTAATTGATAACAGATTTGCACCAGGGATGTGACTTGGTGGTCAAGGTTGATGCTATATAGGATTTGCAATCAATTATTTTATTTTGACACCCCCTCCCTCTCTTCAATTCTTGTTCACTCTGATTTTTTTAAATTTGTGCCCTTACCAACACTAACAATTAGATTTTGCCCAATCCTTGTGGTAACACTGCTATATTCATCCCCCTACTGATTTTTGTGTGTGCCCCTATCCCCATGGAAACAAAAGATATGTCTCTACATATCCCTTTCCCCCATCGGTGGAACCTGAATATTCAAAATAATTTAATTCTAGTACATGTATATATCACTTTTATTTTATTTTCAATAACTTTTAGGATGGTTTTTTAATGTGACTTTGAGAGGAGGGGCAGGGATGTATACACCATAACCCCATTCTAGTCACACTCAAGAAAAGGAAAGTCTCAGTGGGTTCTTCTTTTTTTCCATGTCAACTTAAACTAAGACAACCCCACAACAAACTTTTTTCTGACATTTTCCTGGGAAGGAACATCGAAGCAATCTTCTTAGTCTTACACTTCCCTCAGTAACTGGAGACACTTTGAGAATCCTATCCTTCCTATTTCCTGGATGACTAAATGATGTTCATGTTTACTTGCTTTAACGAAAGGAGATTGACTTCGCATCCCAAGAACAAGGTGAAACCATCAAGCACTACAAGGAAGGTGATTAGATAAATAGTCTCACTGTCACCAAGCTTGTTATTTTGTAATCATATATCAGCCTGGAATTTCCGGGAAAACTCGGCCTAAGTTCAAGGGCAGGTATGGGATTTCAAAGAGCTGCAGATACTGCTTGAGGGAAGAAATTGAGTACGTGATTGGAGTGGGAAGGAACTTTCTAGAATTCTCCATATTTGTTTTATATCTCTTGCCTTGTTTATATAATTTATTAAAATAACAATTACAAAGAAACAGTTCAGAAGTCGATCACTGTGAAAGGTTGTGTAGTAAATAGGAATTATTGTTTGTTCTGAGTTTTTAATTGTCAGAATTCACAAAAGTAGCTAGACCTTGATTAAAATCATACACAGTGAAAAGCACTAAAGACAACTATAGGTATATACAGGATTACACAAACTTATAAATTCAAATCAAATGTCTTCAACTATCTGTTGCCATGGTTTATCTGCTGAGAGCCAGAAGGGTGTTAGCTTAGTAAAAGGGTATGAAATAATGGCCTACTGGTTCTGAACAGATGATTACTAATATAAAAGTTCAAGGGAAATCTTTTTACTGTGAATATGCTACCATGAAATCCACCCATGTGGTAAAAAGGGAAAGGAATTACAAAGCACACATATATTTTACGCCTTCACCGAAACACAACCTTCTCTTTTTAAATTTCAGTGCATTAAACTGTATCTTTTATCAGGCAGAATTCCTGGAGTTTAGTGTGTCCCTTCTATGTACCTCTCCTGACTCATTAATGGCATTCCTCCTCATTCATGATTGAAGCCCTTCACCCTTACCATACACAGACAGCCAATATACCATGGCAAATTAATTTATCAGGAGACACACATGATTCAATATACATAGGAAATAAGGAATAAGTGGGAACATGATTCGCTCCTGTAGCAGCACTTCACTTTTGCCTATAACCCCTACCACCGCCCCCTGATCTAACCAAGCTATAACCTGCTGAATGTGTCCTACATGCTGGGACAGATCTAGTGGGTGCAAGCATCCCATGCCCCTTTTATAAACCAATCAAGCATAACCATAGTACACCGAAGAGAAATAAATAAGCCCTCCCTTAAATTACCCCCTGTGATACCTTAGACCTGCATGATGCACCTGAACTCATGGTACCCCATCTCCCCTCCCCTCCTTTTTTTTTGGGGGGGGGGGTCATAAGAAATTCATAAATTGGCCCCCTCCACTTTGTAAAATTCAGGATCAGCCCCTGTAACGTGAAGAAAAGAAACTGGCTTAACATGGTTTTCCATGTAGTATCCCTGGTAAAACAATAAAGGAGCTCATTACTTCTAACTGGGGATAATAAATCAAACTTAATGCTCAAATCTAATGAACAGGAAAGGGGATCAGTTATGAATGAATAAGTGTTCTTAGAAAAATTGTTATTTCTGTTTTTCTTTATCCAAAGGAGAATGTCAAATGGAAGGAGACCTATAAAAGGGAGAAACTGTGGAAGCCCTACATGAGAGAGAGAGAGAGAAAGGGGTGGACTTGATTTTTTTTTATTGGGAGATATAAGAGAGAGAGAGAGAGAGAGAGAGAGAGAGAGAGAGATAAGAGAGAGAGAGAGAGAGATATAAGAGAGAGAGAGATATATATAAGAGAGAGAGAGAGATAAGAGAGAGAGAGAGATATAAGAGAAAGAGAGAGAGAGAATGGTAGGAAAGGAAGACTTTAAGAGTGAAAGATCAAGAAAATTGTACTAGGTAAACAGGAGAAGAATGTGGAGTAAGAGAGAGAGAGGGAGATATAGAGAGAAAGAGAGAGATAAGGGAAAGAGAGAGATAAGGGAAAGAGAGAGAGGGAAGGGAGAGGGATATACATATATCAGGAAAACAGAGAGATAGAGAGGGACCGTCTTCATAGAAATACTTATATATATATATATATATATATTTAGAGCCTTTTCATTATTGAACAGCACACTTGTAATACACATGCTTTTTTGTTTGAGTCAATAAACATGTCTCTATAAGACATGGTTTCAGAAAATGTTCTAAGATTGAAATTGAATCCTGCCCTTTTCCATTTTTAATATTAAAAAAGTAATAATGCACTCTCCTCTGAGCCACAGTATATCTTCTTGAGAGAACAAGGCAAAGTGGAAGATTGGGGAAATTGTATTGTATTGGGAAAATTGACAGAGAACCAAAGTGGGATGGGGCATGTAACAAAGAAGGGATGAAGGAGAAAGAGCATAGCTTGAGGGGTAGACATCGGAGAGCTTACAATGATACCCCAAAAACCAGTATATATTATGATATAATCGTACAAACTATATCCTGTATGCACATTAAGGGAGTGAAAAGGATTGCTGGTGAAGACGGTCTAGACACGGTAGGTTCTCGTAGAAAAGGTCATGGCGTAGGTAAGCACTATCGCCAGTCAGACAGCATCCAAATCAATTGAAGACTCAGCAAATCGTGGCTGGATGCCAGCCGATAAAGAAAAGAGAGAGAGATGGGAGCTGGAGAAAAGAAGTGGAGCAAAATGTTATCTATGGATGTGTAATGTAGCATAGCGGCCCTCTTAGAGTCGGTCAGGCGTAGAAAAACGCCTTTTCATTGCTGGATTTTCGAGGGGGAGGGTTAAGTATATTACATAGGAAACTGAATCTTGGTCTTCATCAACTGGAACAGGTGATTCTTTTGTAAGCAAAACATTAAGGACATGCTCTAGTTTTGATGTTGTAGTTCAAGGCTGTACTGCAATGTGGATGATTGTTTTACATTGAAAAACGAAATTGCTTTATATTTTGTTTTAAACTTAATTTTAAGTACTTGTAATTTTTTATTTTTAATATAAAGATAAGTCTTGATCGAAGAGCTTTTTTTTTAAACATTTGAATTATGCAAAAATTTGCCTTTTCACTATATCTACAAGTTTTCATATTTTAGATGATCATTCTCATCAACCTCAATCTCATCACAATTTCATGAATCATCATCTTAAATCAATTATCATATTTTGTCATCAATATCCTTCTCTTTATCATCATCATCATCATCATCATAAGTCATCATCAATATCATCATCATAATTCATTATCATCATAATATATCATCATTACCATCATCATCATACATCATCATCACCATCAATACTATCGTCGTCATCATCATAAATCATTATCATCGTCATCATCATCATCATCTTCATCATCATCTTCATAAATCATCATCATCATCATCATCATCTTCATAAATCATCATCATCAATATCCGTATTACCATCATCATCGTCACTCTCCATATCTAAATCCAAATCACCATCCGTCTCCTCATAATTAGCCATGTTGAAAATATAATTAAATCTTCAGTACGTGCTAGACAATTCTGACATTATCACTCTCAACCTTACATAATAAAAATACAACAGATTCAACAAATATAAAAATAGACAAGTAAATAAATAAAGAGGGGAAGGGGTTGAAGAGTCAGAATCACTTTGTTGTGGAACCAGAATACATTTATTGGACTGTGAGCTCGCAAAATAAAAATGAAACTCTCATTAGACAAGAAAATAAATGCAGTAAGAGAGAAGAAAAAAGAAAGATAGAAAGATCTTGAAGAAGTCTCAAGCTAACTAGTTCCTATTTCCCCAAAGCTAAAGATTAGAAGTAAATAACCCACAAAGAACTGCCCAGTAAAAACAAACACCATGGTTATCAAAATGTAGGCATATATAGACAACTGGGCCTGAAAAAACTTCTCTAACTACTCGCAATATCATTATTATCTACATCAGAAAAATCTATTTATTGTTTTGCTGAAAGTGTTCATATTGTAGCATTGCCAGTTCACAATAGAAATGTAGTCTCCACATCTTTCTTACATTATATAGTGAAGATAATATCATATACATTTGCCAAAATATGAAATGACTAAAACCAGATTTTGAAATAAAAAACATGATTTATATGTGCATATATGTATTTCATACAAATAGCCACTGCTTGGATAACAAGTACATAATGATGATGATAGCTCACCAACACTGACATTAAATGTTTTTTAGCATGTGGAAATACACTTACATACTATACCCTTTAAATTCGCAGTTGAATTCATGTGAGAATAAGATACATGTACTATAATTCCTTCACATATCTATACCACTGCTACAATGATTTGAGTGCTTCACCTTCTCCATTGCTTGATTTGTATACTAGTACAATACACCATAAATACACACATAGCATCAAGACAAAATGTTGCACATATATTTTCTGTCCCAATAGCAATAGCTGTGTCTTTGTTCATAAGATGTTTCATAGATCTATATACAAGTTTACATATTCTTCCACTACTCAATATAAATACATGTTGTCTACAAGAGTACGATAAGGCTTTCAACTTTTCAATAGATAGCAATGTTTTACACCCCAGTCTTATCAAATACATACTACTGTTTTCATTAAAGGACAACTTATCTACAGGTATATCACAAAACAGAATGTGTTTATCCAAGGGATAAATTCCTGGTTGAAATTCAGTGTAATTTGCCCATTATGGCATCTCTTCTTAACCAATGTAAATCACAGAAAATATCATTCTTGAATTAAAGATGAAGCATAAGAAATGCAATTATTTTACATGTAAAATTAGATAGTGAAAATGAGAACAGACCAACTACAATATTTGATTGCATAACATGTTCCAATCTACCTTTGATAACATATTCCCATTACATCTATTTCTTGGACACAGAATGAATTTCAGAAAATTTGAATTTCAGAAAATTCGAAATATCATGGGACATGAAATAAGAAATGATAGAAATTCAAATTATTGTCAAACAATGTATCTGATTGTCCAACATGTATCTGATTAGAGCAAGATAAGGTTGTTTAACTGAAATTGCATTATGGCACAAACGTTGCATCTCTGAAAGATAGGATGAATTGAATGTTAGAAAGCTTTCTGTAATTCCTGTTTTAAAGCAATCAGTGGCCAAGCCAGCAAATCAAGTAGCTCGAGTCTAAAAGTATTTGTTTCCCACATCTGACAGCCAACCAGCCATCACTGGCCGACCCACAAGACAAAAAACCCACAGGAGATATCGATTCCAAAATGTCAACATTAATAACCCCTCTTTTTTCGGCAATATCTCATCTGATTATTAAAGATTTAGAAGAATTGGAAAACAGATCACTCTCCTATGAATTACAGCTTAACTGTAAAGGAATGCAGACAAAAACAAAATGGATTCATAACGTTAGAGTTTAACTCAGGGTATGAATACAGAAGATGGCTCTTTAATCCTATGGATTCAAATCTTCCTTTCAATCCTCCCAGACAGGTGTTTGTTTTAATTCTATTCACCTACATTTTCTTGACCTTTATATATTTCTGAGCAATGCAATGCATAAGTTTGCATTTTCTCCAGAGAAATCTGTCAATTGATGCTACAGATTTTTTTTTCACTGCTCAAATGAGAAAATTTGTGTGTTCTCAAAGGGACATCCCTCACTCAGCTAGCATTGCTCTCTACATCAGCAGATGTAGCCAAATAGAAGCAACCAAACTAAGTTATCTCCGTGGGTGGAGGCAACTTGGCTCAGCAGGGATGGGGGGGGGGGGTATTCTCAGAGGCTGCGTATCCAGGCTGCCATTAACGTCACAAGGAGACGACCATCCCCCGGGCACTAACCTCGACACAACGAGAAGCTAAAAATGTTCCCCGGAGGCCCCCACGTTTGTCTGCTAGAGGCAACCCACACATCCAACACGACCGTCAATGAGTGGGACTGTCACGCAGCAGGGAGGCTGCTGTTGAACTTTTCATTTGAGCGCTGGTTAGGTTTGTGTGAGATTCGCTGGAAAAGTGATTGCATGAAAGATTCCAATGTGAGGATCGTTTCTTCCATATTCATTGTAAAATCTAAACATTTGCTTGATTCATGAGAGGTACTATTTCTGGAATTGAAATCAATACATAACACCGTAAGGCTGAGTAAACTTCTTATAATAACAACAAACTACTGTTGTAACAACAGAGTGTACTAGAGCATTTGTTATCAAACTGATTTTCTTTTCTTCATTAAGTATGATCTTTCAATAATAAACTGGACAAGAAATATACACCATGTCAAAGTAACCAAATAACTGCATAAAGAAGAAAAAAAGAGATCCTTTCAAATTTCATTTCTATTTCAAATGTAGTAGCGATTCCTTTTGAAATGGTGTAAACCTGGGGTGACGATCGAAAGGGGAAAATATGCTAAGGAAGAGGATAACGATTGAAAATAGGAATACAGGTTACCCATCCAGAGGCAATCGATAGTATGCAAAGATAGACTAAATCTTACAGTTTTATACAGTAGTATTATGCAGTTTAAAATCTATTGTCTTTGTCCTTATGAATGAGGACATTTTTGTTTTTTTCTGCGGTGCAGGTGATGTGTTTCCATTATGATAAATAGAACCGGGTTTCCTTCTGAGGGAAAAAGAGGAGCTAAATGGGGCACTATAAACAGACGTGATGGGCGAGGAATGTGAAAAGTAAGCGTTTGTGACCCAGATCCTCTACTTGCTTGTGATGATTGGAGATTTAAAGAGCTTCTCCTGATATGATCCAGCCATTAACCGACGATCCTTTCTTACTCCTTCACTCCTACTAAGAGATGGATTAGCCTCTATATTATTCCTGACTTCGGTGAAGGCTGGATTGATTCGGCCTTTTAGTGGACCCTACAAATAGGAGGGTGATCATTTTTACCAGAATAATAAATAATAATAAAATGGACTTTGGCTGGAGAGCTATGCAGTGTGCTCACAATATCAAAGTATGGGGTTTGTTGAAATGCTGATAGATTCCTAAGGTGGTCATTAATAAGAGTTTAGCCTGACCAATCATGCCTAAAATAGGAACATATTTAGTTATTTAGCTACCCCCTCCTAGCTCTCCCGCTAGTACTAAAAATATTCCCCTTGCCTCATAAGTATAAAATGTGATTAATGTGATGTTTCCAAGTGAAATATTTACTGAAATGTCAAATCAAAGTAATGTGTAAAGTGCGCCTAAAGTTTCACACATTTTCACATTGGTGATTGTGTAGAATGGGGTGACACCGTACATTAAGCAAGTGGATGTAAGGAATAATTGTCATATCACTCTATAGCATTGCAAAACATGCCTTACCCCCATTGCTAACTAACAAAGACCCAATTTGTATATATCAGGTTGCCTAATGATTACTCAAATATAGTTTGAGCAAAGAGGAAATACAATATAGAATTGACTCAGGGAATAAATGTACATTTATCTTGTAATATTACTCTGATAATGAGATTTGAAAATAGAGATACATGTATATACTAGTTCCATGTTTTCCCACCATTTATCCAGCAGTATCAATAAATTCAGAATATAGTTGATATAGTTAAAAACATTCTTTAAACTTGAAATACAAGTGGTTCCAATAATAATCTTTGATAACGATGCTCAAATCCCAGTAACTATAAATTCCTAACACTACGTTTCATATAAAATCACAATTCCACATAATCAGTCCCAACAACACGTACATGTAAATAACATATTTCTCTCACATTTCCTTTGTACAATGTTTTTTTTTTCTCAATAAATGGAAGATCCTGGTATCCAAATCAGATAATAATAAAATATTTGACATACTTGATGATGATAAATACTTGATTCTTTCCAATAAATGAATGATATATGCCCATCCATTTCCTTGATAAAATAGAACAAGAATAATAATAATAATGTCATCAACACAGCAGAACAACGTCCACCGAGTGATATATTTGTACCAAATTAATATGTACGAGCATTATATTCCTACAGGCAACAAAATATTCCATAGATAAATAGGTACATATCACATTCCTTCTATACAACCGTCAATAAAAGAACAGCCCACAATCCTACTGTACAATCATATTTACAATCCTGATATACGGTTCCATATGAAAATGAAGTAAAAATACACGTATATAGATATATATATATTTGTAAATATATATATTTTATATATCATAAATATTATACATGATGCATATACATCTGACATTATGAGTAGTAAATGTATGAGTAGCATGGTACACACTAGAGTAGTTAGTCGCTACATTAATTAAGGACAACAACACCATAATATTGATTGTGGGACAAAAATTGATTTGAGTACATGGATATAAGTCTTCAGAAATATGTTACTGTAGTCTTTTCTATAAGCTAATATACATCTACATAGTGTCATGTTTGAGTATCTCCAATGGCTTGAATCTTTATAAATGTAATGGTTCGTTTCAAGTAATACACTGTTATAATTTGTAGGAAGTAATATTTTCTTACTTTGCAAGACAACTGACATTTTTTTTGTTTTAAATCAATAATTTTTGTTTGTTAATAACTGCAGAAAGAGAACTGTATATGATATTTAAAATTCTTTAAAAGCTTGATCTGTCATTTCATGCATTGTATTTCTTCGGATTATGTTAAAAGGAATAGCAAATTCTAAATCACATGTTTCGACCTACAGTAGATGTTGGTATATTGCGTGCTCAATTTGTTTTGCGGGGCTAACCAAAATTCATTTCTTCACCTCATTACATTCCTACAAATAACAAATTCTCCCAAAGTTAGTGATCCCATGGCATTTTACACTTGACAAACAGTGATTTCCATACATACATAGATCTTGAATTTGTCCATCTTAGTCTAAATGACAAAAATTATTTTATGAGTATCCCTACTGTATAAGTGGGGAAAAATAACCCACATTGAATTACACAGCATAATGCTCTTGATGAGTTAACAGCATCACTTCATCATGGGGGGAAATGCATTGCATGCGATGGCTGTTACAGCAAAAAAATCCCAGATTGTGAAATCTTTTTCACCGTATAAAGACTTTACCATTTGAACTTGACTACATCACTTTTGGCGGAAAGTAAGGGAAAATAAAAACATTTGAAGGAGAAGCAAAACAGTTACAGACTATAAAACAAATACTTCATTTAATTTTAAAAAGACAAACAAGTGCTACATGTACATGCATAACATTTTCTCTTGTCCTTTTTTAAATATAAGGCAGCATGGACCAGAATTGAAATAAAAATAAACAAAGACTTTGCAATATTTTGAAACACTATACAACTAAATTATACATATTTATATATTTACCAATATGGTAATGACATTGTATGAAACTTGACAAGGCATTCCCGAAAGTCAGGAATAAACAAAATCCTATACATTTTCATCTATATCTAAACTGCGAGAGAGGAATAAGCTATATTTGAACGGGAAAAATAAAGAGGGAAAAAATTTAAAAGGGAAAAAATAAAGAGATAAAAACTCATTGCAAATAAATCATCATTTGACTACGAGAAGCTCTGAGATTAAATCAATATTATTGCCAAACGAATTCTTGATTTTTTTTGCCCATTCACGCAAACAAACATTTATTTCTACATGTTGCCCTTTCATTTACTTGCATGCCGATGTTAAAAGGCTGCCTAGTTGCATAAATTGGGATTCTTTTTGTTTCTCTCTCTCTCTCTCTCTCTGTGAGAGTAATATAGGGTGAACTAGATCTTACATTTGGACAAATTTGATTGCCTCTGATGAATTTGGCAAACACTGTATATGGGTTGAACGTAGTTTGGGATAGAGTTTCTCAGAGTAAAAGTATAATTTGAAATGTACACTTGATGGCATGCGATGGCTGTACATGACATTTGCACTTCATTCAGGAGTCTAAAATACTGTCAAAATCACAGTTTATTTCATTCAAGATTATTGGATAAGTAAATTTCTTTGCAAAACTTGTCATGTGGAATATATTTCTTATGTGATAATGAATCAGTTAGCCAAAATATTAGCCTCTCTTTTGATTTAATTTTATATCATTTTTGCAGAGAACAAAAGGCACAGGGGTCTTGAAAGGGCAAGTCAAAATATGACAAATTTAAAACAAGGCAGTAAGACTGGGCACATCAGTTTATGTACAGAAAACACACACACACGCACACTGCATTACAAACAGCTATAATAATAGGATCTGGTTGTGGGAAATAAAACTAAGCTCAGATCCTTAAATATAAAATCATGATCAAATGAAACTTTCCTCTCGTAAATAATTCATATTAAAAACACACATCTGTGAAAAACTACAAACTGAAAAATAATAATGAGTAGATTTTCCAAGTATATCTGAGATAAGATCATTACACTTGCTGCTCGCGACTACGCAATTGCCATGCATGTGCGTGATAGTCTAATGGTCCTACGCACTTGCCGTTACGTTAGGATGTCTACAGGGTGTTATATGGGATCGATCATGACATAGCTGGGAGATGATGGGGGCAGTCATATAAACAGGGTGGGGCGAGGCTCGAGCAGCCCCCAGCGATGCTATAAGGCAGATACTTGCACCACATTGGAACTGCCGGCACTGCCCTGCGGGCTTCCCGTTGGGCTCCCTCTACTGCCCTGAGGACTGGAGCTAGCACTCACGGTGGAGTGGATCGACTCAGTGTCCACCGCATTGCTTGGTGTAGGTAAGGTGGAGACGATGGCGGTGGTTACCGTTGTAGGGTTGGTGTTAGGGATGGTGTTGATGTTGGTGTTGGTGTTGGTGTTGGTGTTGGTGTTGATGTTGATATTGGTGTTGGTGTTGGTGTTGGTGTTGCAATTCATCTCTGGCAGGACAGTGAGGGTGAGGTCGTTCCGCTTGTGAGAGGTGTTCTTTGGAGAGGGCTTTCGATGTGTGTGGGTTTCGTTGACGCGCACCTCTTTGAGATTGTTATCTTCATCCTCTGTACCGGCTGCTTCATAGCGACGCCCCTGGGCCCATCTTGAACAACAACCAGTTGGTTGGCTGTTTTTATCTGAATAAAAAACAATGAAAAAGATCAAAACATTAGATCTCATTTCATTTGTCATACTACTTTCTTTTTGTTAATGAATCAAGCATTCTTTTTATACTAGTTGTTCATAATTCCACCAAAAGTTGGCAAATATGTTCCTAATTACAAATATGTGCAAACTACATTCTGTTTTAAATATTATTCTGCATTGTCTTCATACTCCTTAACATCTGTTAGCCCAACCCTAACCCTATATGTTTGACGGAATAAATGCTGAGGGAATTTTTGGAGCGAAAATGCGGTGTCCTAGCTCAACTTACCTTGCGTAGTTGAGGTGGCTGAAGGACTGGGGCTGACTTGTGCACTACCCGACTGCATAGACCGAGAGAAAGGGATTCCGTTGTATGTGTACTCTGTCTCTACATACTGACGATTCTGAAAGGGAAATTAGAATCAATACTGAATAAAGTTCCATCACATGTAAACTAATCAATGTTGAGCATTATATAAGTTAAAGTGATGCAGCGAAGTCTTTACATAATTCTACAAGTACACTGTAATAAATATCTGACACACAAAAATAAAAGGTTGTTAGTGTTCAACAGAGGAAGGAATCTGTATTACCCCCTCCATTCTAAATGGTATCACCGGTATATCATACTCTGCAAAGGTACTACTCAATATAGCAAATATCAACAATATACTTGAAGAATAAAGCCAAATCGATATCTGTATCGTTGCTTTTGTGAGAAAAATACAGGACTGAATGACTTTCAATTGCCCTTGAAAAAACCTTGCAGGACAGAGATGTAGAAAAAAGGGAGTATGACACAGGGTTTGCTGCAATTCATTTTACAAAAATAATTTCTGTATAGATAAATAATTGTTATTTTTTCTCTTTGTAAGAAACTGGCGATAAGTTGGACATTTCCATATATAAATAAATCAACTTGCAGAACAATATACTTGGACTACATGAATTCATTGTAAGAGAGGAGAAGTGTTATTATAAAAGTACTTCAACAGAATCATTTTCATTTCATAAATTTCCTACATACAGACTATATAATTCATATTTGTTTTAGATCGCAAGTCTGAAACAGTATGGCATTATATCTTTTCATGAATGAGATATTTTACTACAGCCTTAATGCCGAATCAGTATATGTCCAAAAATACACAGTATCATTAAATTTGCATGCAACAGGTGGCAATTAATTATAGTGTCATATAACTGACAAGATGTTTGTGCTCTATGGGGTTAAATTTAGATCGCTGCACTGAATACTGTGTGAAAGATAATCAACGGCTGTCAGCTTGATCAGAAATTAGATTCAACCAGAGACATATTTACAAAGTGTTATGTCCAACACTTGTGTCTTCACATGAGAGCTAAAATTAGAAACCCATAGATAAGAACAGCTTGCCCAAAACAGTGTGCATCTAGACTGTGGATGATCGAGGCACTCTGCATAAAATTCTATATGCATTAAGAAGGTAGAGGTAGGTTCGCTAAAACCCAGATTCATGTATTATTCATCATATGCGCTGTAAAAGTGCTAAAAATATCTTGCATGTGCCCAAACAAAAGTAGCTACATTATCGCATGTTAGTGGTCTTCGATCAAAAGGTGTTGTATTTTTTTTATTTGCAAGAATAAATATACAACAGAAATAGAGTAGAGTGTAGTACGTGGGGAGGGTGGGGTTTGATTCTGTGCACGGAGGGTAGATAGAACTCATTATGCCAACAAATGCAAGTCTAGCTACCCTCACTCCAATCAAATCCAATTCTCCATGTAACAAATCAACCGGTTCAAACACATGCACACATGAGCACTTTCTAAGTCCTCGATGTACACTCCATGTAGTCATCATCCGCAACGATTATGCGTTCATGTAACGCTTAAAACAACAATCACCGCGTTGGCCGCTACGCCAGCCTGCACATGTTGCTGGGTTTATGAGTCTGACGCTTTTATGACATTAATTATGCACGGTGGATGGGGCACCCATCATGTTTCATGGCAGTACACAGTTTAACATGTCTAGGTGGTGAGGTATAAAACACTGTCATATATCACAAAGTGAGAGGTGATTATTGATAATGTAACATAAAAACTGCCCATGAAGTCGGTCAGAAGATGGGGGAAAAAATGCATTAGAAAAAAAAAGATTTATCAAGGCTGCATATGGTAGACTGATTTTGTCCATGCCACAATATAAGCCTAAATTAATAGCATAGATTGTAAAAAACTCTTGGGAGACATTCATCTATAGTAAATTTTTAATTAAGGGGGGGGCAGCTTTATATCAACGAATTGTGGTAATTTCTATTTTGAAATATTTGCCTAATGACCTCGGTTAGTGCTAAGACTTGCATATACCATTAAGATCAACCGTTTGACTTCTGAATTGTCATATTCTCCATAGCTTTTGTACAGAAACCGCGTTGCATGCAGTAGGCAATGGGTTAAAGCAATGCAGAATATCCTCAAAAGATAATTGTATGATCATATATCATATTGATAAAGAGAAATAGTTATGGATATTCTTTATTTTTTCTAGAATAGCCATAAATCATTTACCCTCCCCCCCCCCCCCCAACGAAACAAAATCCTCTCAAATCCTCTATGATAGTCGCTCTCTATTCATATCTACTACTGAAGAAATGGATGCACCAACACTCTCTACACCCCACACACAATGCTAAAGAGCCTTCCAGCCTCATCCCCAACAACAACAGAATAGCTAGCTCAAATCCAGCCTCACCCATCACATATGACAGAAGAAGATGCAATTATGATAATATGGATAACTAGATTTAACAACCACATTTAAGGCCAATATGATAATATTGAGGAGACAGGTTTGTAGGAATGGGCCTGCATGGTCCGACATGTTTATCTGAGGGAAATCCATCTATTACCAGGCAATAGCACTCTACCAGACAGTCAGGGAAGATTGAATCTAATATAAACTGCGATTCATGGAATTAAAATGTAGGTAAACGGATTTACAAAAATAATATCTTTATATGTACACGGTACCAATGCATACTTAGCAGCATACATGTATGGTACTTTCCGATAAAAAATTGACCCATAGGAAATATAGAGTGAAATATCAGTTCTCACAGAGGTGAAAATGTATCATACAAATGAATGATTGAAACAAAACTGTAAATTTTTTTCAGTCTTGTGTGTATTTAGAGATTAAACATATTTATCTATGAAATATACAAAAACTACAACTCTAACCCAGCTTAACAATCCAATTTATCATGGAATTTCATCACAGGAAAGTCATTCCCTCTTCACAATTCTATAAATCTATCTTCATCTAAGACCCCCGCAATATCTTTTTCCTTCAAGATAATATACTCTCTATGAGTCAGGTTTGGATAATGGATGGAACTACATTTGATTACAGGATAAGGAGCTTGACACTTTCCCACTGTATAATGCATTAAGTGCACTGGCATGTGTTTGTACCATGTAGCTTGTATTAACAATGCATTTGACAATGTGACTACTGAAACAAATTGCCAAATATTACGATGAATTTATAGAGTATACATGTGATATTATGAAACCACTCAGCAGACTCCTATTTGCTTCATGAACTTCAGCTTCAACATTCTGAATTTCCTATTAACTATATGATTTTTATCTATTTGCTACAAATCATCATGCATTTGTCTAGAGGATCTAGGCTTGTCGGAAGATGGAGCCGATATATGTTTAGAGCTGTGCAAGTCAATGATCTTTGGTATCGTTGGTACTTATATATATATATATATGTGTATATAACAGCTAGAAAAATGGGATGTTTTTTTTTCTGTCTCAGAAACATCTACATATCATATACACCTATTATTGTTGTTATGGGGGCTTTTCATACATGCATATATCAACAGCATATACCTAGACATCAATCTGTAAACATAATAGCATGTTGCAAATCGTCTGACTTTACTGACACATAATACAGGGGACCAACTGAAAAACCACCGGAGCAATATGAAACTTACAGCCTTTTCACACACAGCTAAAATTCATCGTATCTAGAGATGATTAGTATAAACGTGTTTAACTCAACAGTTTTGAACATGTTTATAGACAATTTTCCTTGTTGTGTGAACATCGTCTATACGATGTTGGGATAGATACAAAGTCACGATTCATACACCCCTAAAAGCAGGCTGCAGATACGAAGTTCGTATCTAGAGAGCTTAACATTTTGTGTGTGAACGGTTATTCGTGTTTAAACTGGATGGAGTGTGCACTTTGTTTAATATGACATGACCTTCAAAGCGCAATGGCACTACTGCGCATTTTAAGAGCAGTAGTTAATCACGAAACGATTAACGATCGCACCGAAATTTTTGTGTGTGAATGATGTCGTATGTACAGGTGATTAGTTTAAAGCCCTTTAAACTAATCATGTTTATAGAATTTTAGCTGTGTGTGAAAAGGCTGAATGTCAGCACGGATGGAGTGCTTCATTTTTCTGTTTCAAACACACAGAAAGATGGGGCCATTGACGCACCCACCTGCATGTCACTCCCACTTGCAAATCAGTCAAACAAAAAAAACGGGTAATTGTTTTTAAAACTTTCTTTCCTTTCTTTTGAGGCTGCTTTTATTGTGTCATGCTTGACCTAGGCTAGTAATTGTTTTTTTTTAACTTTTGTTATGATGCAACATTCCTTTCTTTTGAGGCTGATTTTATTGTGTCATGCCTGACCTAGGCTAGTAGTTGTTTTTTAAACTTTTGTTATGATGCAACATTCCTTTCTTTTGAGGCTGTTTTATTGTGTCACGCCTGACCTAGGCAAGGCAGTTGTCCCCCACACTCCTTTTACACAGTGCACCAATGCTCTAATGAAGGCGTACCCAATAACAGTAGCTATTAATAGACCGAAGTCTTCATACTGTATGGTACAGCCCCAGTGGGTGGTATGTATAACGGGCCAAACAAGCCAATAACGCTGTACAGTTGTACGAATATTGGCCTGTTTAGCCCGCCATAGGTATGGACTGAATGTAAGAGGCCTATATGATCATCATGAGCATTTCACAAAAACAAAGTCAGATCTGCGCTCTATACAGGAAGGAATGTAATCATGATACACAACTATATACTTTTCCTGTAATTGTTGAACTATATGTATATGACATGAATATGACATGAATTTAAAATGAAAAAAAATTGAATTGCATCATAACGAAAAGTCTTCATTAAGAATAAGCAGTGTCTATACAAAAGTTTTAGGAAAAATAACAAAATATGAATGTTACAAGTACTTGATTGGACTACCCTATGTGAGTGTTGTATGGTTGGAATTCACACTGTATTGTGAATCAGTTGATTCAATAGTCTATAGAAGGAAAATTATCACAAGAGCATCTGTGAAATTAGCAATGAGGAAAGACGTTTTTGATTATATGAAATCAAAAGCAA